CCAACTTTATAAATAAATACTGAGAGCTGCAGAGCGAGGCACAACCTCCAGCTGCCAGGTGATGACTCCCCCCAGCCTGATGCAGCTGTACCCTCTCCAGGCAGCTCTGCCACCCCACAGCACACCGGCTTCAACCACGTGGGCCTGCAGGGAAACCAGAGCTGAATTCAGATCGGCAGAGCCAACAAGCTGGAACAAGTGCATTTCAATGAAGTGTCTTCTCTAGAGCTGGTGCAACCCAACCTTTGTACCCTGCAAATGCCACAAAGTCTTTGCTGTTATTTTAAGGTGGGATAAACCCCTTAGAGATTTTCATAGAACCACAGAATCACAGAATATCCTGAGTTGGAAAGGACCCACAGAGATCATCAAGTTTATCTCCTGGGCCTGCACAGACCCCCCCCCCCCCAACAACCCCACCCTGGGCATCCCTGGGAGCATTTTCCAAACTCTCCTGGAGCTCTGACAGCCTCAGGGCTGTGCCCATTCCCTGGGGAGCCTGGGCAGTGCCAGCACCCTCTGGGGGAAGAACATTTCCTAATATCCAACCTAAATTTCCCCTAACACAACTTCCTGCCATTCCCTTGGGCAATTTTGTTACTATCTATTCCCACTCCATTTGCAGCTCTCAGCAGTTAGGACACCACTCTCAACCTTCTCAAAACCAGAAGATAAACGTAGTGAGTCTTGGAGGGTTTTCTGTCCGCACAGCCAAGGGAAGCGGAGGTTCGGCAGAAGCGGCATTGTTCGCAAAGCCCTGGTGCGCGATCCCCTCGGGGCAGGCAGCGGAGTGGCGGCTGCGGTACCGCTGTCACCTCCTCCTCTCCCCTGGGGTGTCCCTGCAGCCTCCACATCCCGACTGCTGCAGCGCCCCGACCCCGCCCGGCCTCACGCGGCCCCGGCCTCTCCGCTCCCTCAGCCCGGGGCCGGGCCTCACCTCCTCCAGGAACCGCGTCACGTCGTACACGCGCCCGTGGATCACCAGCCAGGCCTCGCGGCTGGAGTTGCGCTTCGCCACCTCCTCCAGGGTGAACACGGGCCCGGTCCCCGCCGCCGCCGCGGCCTCTCCGCGCCGCCCGCCCTCCATGCTGCCCGGCGCGCCTCCGCGGAACGCGCGGCCTGGCCCGCGCCGGCCGCCGTACCGGTGCCAACGCCCCGCGCGGCCTTCCCTGCGTTCGGAGACCAATGGGGAGCGAGCTAGAGATGGGCGCTGCCGGCGCAGCCAATGGGAGGGCGCGGCGGCGGGCGTGGGCCAATGGGGAGCGGCCGGGGCGGAAGGCGGGAAACGGCGCGCGAGCGTCGCCTCTGAGGCGGCACCGGGGTCGGTGCCCTCAGCCCTCAGATCGGGGCGTCAGTTCTGGGCTGTCAGTCCCTGATCCTCCTCAGCCCCTGATCCCCCTCAGCCCGGGCGTCAGTCCTGAGCCAGTCAGTGCCGGGCCCATCAGTCCTGAGCCAGTCAGTCCTAGCCCATCAGTCCCTGATCCGCCTCAGCCCCTGATCCCCCTCAGCCCCAGCCCATCAGTCCCTGATCCTGCCTCAGTCCTGGGCCCGTCACTCCCTGCTCCTCCTCGGTCCCTGCTCTCTCTCAGCCCCAGCCCATCAGTCCCTGCTCCCTTCACCCCCATTCCCCAGTACTGGCTCCAAGCCGCCCTGCTACCCCTGTGCCACCAGAGAGCACAGTGCCCGTCAGGCAGCCTGCCCCCAGCTTTTCCACCGTCCCTCGCAGTCCCTCCTGCGCGTATGTAAGACAGCAGTGATCCCACAGCCCCTGGAACGGAGCGGTGGCGGTGCAGCACATCCCCAGTGCTGTCTTCCCCCAGGCTCCACAGCAAAACTCACCCTCGGGCTTGAGGAGAAGCACTGCGTAATTCTCTCCTCCCTCCAGCCGCACTGAGCAGTTCAGAGGCCGTTCAGAAGCTCAGGGACCCGAGTAACTCCAAACCCAATGGTTTCCCTTTAGGAACTGGTGTTTGTGGCATTACTTACTTGCGCTTGTGGCACAGGTACAGGGCTGGGCGGTGCCCGTTTGTTTTACAGGTGCTGAGGAGCAGAAGTGCCATGCTGTCAGTGCTAGCCCGTGACCAGCACTGGCTGAAGGCTGAAGCTGTGTGCAGGGAGGCCAGCAGGCAGGTCACAAACCCCTCTGCAGCCTCAAGGGAGCTCAAGTGCAGTTCTCTGTTTGGACAGGTCCATATATTCACACACTGGGATGTAAAAGGCTCTGAAACCTCTCCACAGTCACCTACTCAATAGTAAATATTAAATATTGAGCTGCTGCTCCTTTTGGTCCTTTCTGTCTATCTTTTCCCAGTCATCAGGGCTGTTTCCCTGGCTCTGTGTGTAACCCAGGCTCCTCTGACATGGAATGGTTCCAGCTCTTTGTTGTACCCAGGCAGCCCAGCTCTTGGCATCTTTCCAAAGTGATGTCTTTCCTTCTAGAGCCTTCCCTTTCCTTCTAGATCCAGACCAGTTCCTACGGGACGAGTTACCTTTGCTCAGATTTGCTCTACTTGATGGGTTTCTTACGTGCCTTTGTGTTTCCTTCTCTCCGTCCCTCATGCCTGGAGGGTTTCTCTGTGGATTTCAAAGAGATCTCATGACCCCCCTCCACATTTCCCTTGTCTCCTGTTCCACTGCTCCCTGGTTTTCTGTGGCTCTCCGCTGCCTTTCTGTGGCCAGAATGGTCTTGGAAGGGACCTTGGAGCTCCTCCAGTGCCACGCCAGCCACGGGCACGGACACTTTGCACTGTCCCAAGCTGTTCCCAGCCCTGCCCAGCCTGGCCCCGGGCAGTGCCAGGGATCCAGGGGCAGCCCCGGCTGCTGTGGGAGCTGTGTCCTGCCTGGTGCTCCAGCACAGCGAGAGCAGAGCCCGGTGACCAGGGACCCTGGTGCTTTTCCTGCTCTGTTTCCTGCTCTAACTGCTCCAGAAGGATGTGACAGGCACGAGACCACGGCAACCTGCAGATCCTGTTCCCTGGAATATTTTCTCTCATCTGTAATCACTTCATCAAAAGCCATAAATCAGCGAGGGGAGGCTCCAACGCACAAGCACGGCTGCAATTTGTGCCTTCCTGCCCAGTGTTTTGTTTGGCACATGGGACTGCAAAGCTTTTCCTGAAACATTGATGGTGACACCACAGGAGGACTCAGTGAAACTGGAGAGGGAGGCCACTGGCATTCCTGGTCCTGCTTCCATCATCCCTGCTTCCTCTTTGTTTATTGGAGATGATTCAGGGAGCAAAGCAGTGGGTCCATTTTTGTATTTACTCTGGAGTTCATTGTTCCAAGCTTGTTTTCCAGTCCTGGGTGCTGAACATCCCAGTCCTGATCTGAACATCCAAAGGGGGACACCTTCACCAGAGGGCACAGGAGGAGGAGATGGCAGCCAGAGGGACACGAATAGGAGGCAGAAAAAGGAGGCTAGGGGAGTTTTCCCGAGCAAAACCTGGCTTGGAGAAGGCAGGTGGCTCTCGAGTGGCCTTGTCCTGGTGTCTCAGAGAGGAATCTTGCTTTGCTTCCCTTGGGAAAGGACTCCAGGACTCTCTTTCCTGACCTTTGTGCAAAAATAAATAAAATTACCCAAAACCTTAAAACTTGTGCAGGGCCAACGGGATCTGCTGAAGTGGCTGGCACATCTACTTGGAGCCAGGTGGATCCTGGGAGCCGAAGTTATGGAGCTCCCCGAAATCCATGGAATTTTGTGGCCAGGAGAGCAAAGGCAGCGTCTGAAGGGCTGTCAGGGCCCTGCCTGGATGGAGAGGACAGAGCTGAAATCCTGGGGTCCCACCCTGGCACCACCTCCTGCTTCTTGTGACAGAGAAAGAGCAAAACCGCTTTGTCCATGAATATTCCACGTGGAAAAGGGTTTGGTCCAGAGCTCCCCTCAGCCCAGGAAGCAGCTGCTGGGATCGCATCCTTCACGGCATTCCAAGCGTGTCCCGCTCCCACCCTGCTCCCCAGGGCAGTCCCCCCGCCCCAGGCGCCCCTTCTGCCTCACACTGATTACATTTATCTTCCTTTGTTTGCCAATAAAAATCCCTCCCCGTTTTTCTGTTTTCCATCTGACACACGGATTTTTCCCATGTGTGTTTCCTCCTCTCCTGGCCTGGGGCAGAGGGAAGGGAGGATCCCAGATCACCTCATGCCAGAGGAATTTTCACGTGCTTTTCCATCTCAGGTGGGAGAGCCTCCAGGACAGAGTTAGGAATGTCCCCTGGGCCGAGGAGACGCGTGTCGAAGCAGGACACCCCGGAACGCCAGAGAACCACCCCAGGACCTGCTCCCAGTGCCTCCGCTCCAGGCACCAGTTCTGCTTGGGAATTGGCCAGATCCCTGGGAAACCAGGACTTCTAATTCATTACCGGAGGTCTGAGTGACCGTGGGACAACCTCTGCCCCAAAATCCTGCCCAGGTTTGCTGCTCCAGGCGAGGGGGACTGGCAGGCGGCTGGAGCGCAGAGCACAGGAGAGCGGAGGCTGCTCGAACACCGGAAAAAAGGCAAACACCCGTGCCCGCACCGGCAGGGTGGCACCGCCAGGGTCGGCTGGCAGTTTGACACCCCCAGGCGGTCCCAGCATGTACAGGCGGGTCCCGGGGATGGGCAGCGACCCCGAGCCCGAAGGATCGGCTGCGCCGCGGCCCTTCCCTCCGCTCCGCCGGAGGGCGCCCGACCCTCACCGGCGGGATGGCACCGTGCGCGCCGGGAGCTGCAGGCGCGCCGGGAGCTGCAGGCGCGCCGGGGCTGGCGCGATGCGCGCCGGGAGCTGTAGGCGCGCCGGGAGCTGCAGGCGCGCCGGGAGCTGTAGGCGCGGTGCGCGCCGGGAGCTGTAGGCGCGGCGGGGCTGGCGCGATGCGCGCCGGGAGCTGTAGGCGCGCCGGGAGCTGTAGGCGCGATGCGCGCCGGGAGCTGTAGGCGCGCCGGGAGCTGTAGGCGCGGTGCGCGCCGGGAGCTGTAGGCGAGGAGCCCCTAGCTAAGGCCGCGCCCGAGGGCTCCGCGGCGCCGCGCTGGTGTCGTCACTTCCGACGCGCAGGGGCCTGGCGGGATGGCGGCGCGGCGGCGGCGGGAGCGGAACCGGCGCCGGCAACGGGACCGGGACTGGGACCGGGACCGGGACTGGGACACCGAGCCGGAGCCCGACGGGGCCGGGATGGCGGCGCTCTCCGAGAAGATGGTGAACGGCTGGGTGATGCAGTTCTACTTCCACCGGGCCGCAGAGGCCTATCGCTCCGGGCGCAACCGCGATTTCCGCCAGTTCCGAGACATCATGCAGGGTGCGCGGGGCCGGGCGGCGGCGGGGGCGGGCCGGGCGGTTCCGCTCGGGCCGCAGCCCTGACCCGCCGTTTGTCCCGCAGCGCTGCTCATGCGGCCCCTGGTCCGGCAGCCGGACGTGGCCCAGATGCTCCGCATCATGCAGCTGCTGTCGCGGGTGGAGGAGGGCGAGAACCTCGGTAGGTGCTGCGAGATCTGCAGGGCCCCGGTGTGTCCGTGTCCCCGCAGCTCCCGGGGCTCGGTCCCTGCTCGGAGCAGGGCTATGGGTCAGCCTCAGGGGTCTCTTCCTCTCTGTGGGGCCAAGAGCAGCGTCCGGGGTTGGCAAACCCATCAGCCTGGTGGCTCCTGCTGAGCCTCGGGGCTTCCAAAATGCTGCCCCGGGTCAGAGCTGGGATGGTCTCGAGTGCTGCCCGCCGAGTTTCCCGTGGCTGTCGGGGCAGGAATTGAGCCATGGGCAGCGGCTCGGCCCGGGGGCTGCAGGGGCTGTGGCACAGCTGTGCAGGTGGCTGCTGCCCCCGTGCAGGTGAATAAGCAGCTCCCTGCAGGGAGGCGCCGTGACCGCCCCAGAGGTGTGGCTGTCCATTCTTGCAGATTGCACCTTCGACAGGGATTCCGAGCTGACCCCGCTGGAGTCGGCCATGCTGGTCGTGGACTACATCCGTAAGGAGTTCTCCGTGCCAGACAGGACCATAGAACCCGTGCAGAAAATGGTGAAGGAAGCTGTAAGATCTCCTTCTCTCTCAGTAAATACGTGAGGCAGCTTTTGCCTCGCGTGGGCGATGCTGGGAGCTGCCTCACGTGTGGGATTCCCTCCTTGTCTGCAAACTCCTGCCTGCTGTGCTGGGGCAGTTCTGTGTGGAAGCTGGCACTGAGCTGCTCCCTGTGCCCTGCTCCAGTCTGTGCTTGTTCTCCTCTGCAGGCTGTTGTCGTCTGTATCAGGAACAAGGAGTTTGAAAAAGCTTCTGACATCGTCAAGAAGCACTTTGGCCAGGAGCCCGGAAACCAAGTGAGTCTGTGCTGCAGTGAAGTGGGAGCTGCTGGCGTGTGCACAGGGGGTCTGATGTGTCCTGGGAAGGTTGGGGTGGAGGCCACAATGGAAGCAATCCTTCTGGAGTGCTGCACGTTTGGGTTGTCCCCTTGGAGCCCCCTCTGCCCCCCACCCTTCCTCACACACCTTCACAGCCCTTCCAGGCACCACCATTTATCCCTTGGTGAGCCCCCAGCTCAGCTTCTGAGCAGGGTCTGGGGGCAGCAGGAGTTCCCACTCCTGCTCTGCAGGCAAGGAGAACTCCTGACATAAGGTGCTTCTGCTGCTCCTTGGTTGCTCTCCTGTTCCTCTGGCCTTTTCCCAGCCTCACCTTGGTGTTCATTGGTTGTGCCTGGAGAACACTCAGCAGGAAGGACCCAGTCCTTGCTGTGCTTGTCACTGCTTCCCTGTCCCTGCCCGGAGCGTTCTCACCTGACCCCGTGCATCCCTTCTCCAGAAAAAGAGGAACGAGTGGCTGGCTGTCATCCAGGAGAAGAATCCCTCTCACCCAAAGGTCAAAAACTTCTCCTACAAGGACTTCCAGCAGAGCATCTTTGACTTCCTCAAGGGCTACATGGACGACTCGGAGCCCGTGCTGCTGACGGTGCGTGAGCGCCCGCTGCCCGGGGCTGGGCTGCAGCAGGGAAAGCCTGCCACGCCGAATTCAGGCCATTCCCAGGAGCCTTACGTGGCCCATCGAGGTGTTCCAGCCCTGAAACGCCTGTGGGAGGGGTGAAATGGAATGGGAGCACGAGGAATCATCTCTGTAATGGTGCTGTGCTTTCTCTCTCTTCAAGTCATTGAAAAAGACTTTGAACTTGGAGCAAGGCAAAGCAAAATCCTCGCTGGGGACTTCTGAGCTTGCAGATGGGCTGAAGGACCAGGCAGCAGCTCCGGAGGCCTTGGGAAGTGCAGAGGGCCCAGCCGGAGCTCCAGAGGCATCGGGAAGTGCAGAGGGCCCAGCCGGAGCTCCAGAGCTTGCAGGAGCAACAGAAGACCTGGAGGGAGCTGCCAACCCTGCAGAAAGGCTAGCTGGTCTCACAGCAGCTGCAGAGATTGTGGAAGAAGCCAGTGGCCCTGCAGCAGCTGTGGAACCCATGGAAGTAGTGACTGACCCAGCAGCAACGCCTGAACATTTAACAGCAGCGTGTGATGTCCTGAAGGGCACGCCAGAGCCTATGGACGTAGCCAAAGAACCAGCAGCAGCAGCCCCAGAACTCCCCAGGGTGCCCACCAGGGAGTCACAAAGGTGGGCAGAGGGGTCTGTCTCTAGGTTGTGGATGGCCTAGTTAGCCTCAAGTTCCCTTCCAAGGGGCAATCCCTGTGTCCAGGCAGCCCCTAATTCCCCAAAAGCCTGCCCAGGCCAGCCCAGAGGCGATGGTGCAGGACTCTGGGTGCTGGGAGAGGTGTTTGTTGAGGTGCTGTGGTTCAGCTGCTGTCAGGAGGTGCTGCAGTGAGCAGGGAGGGGGCAGTGGGAATGGCAGGAGGCAGTGGGGCAGGATTCTCCATCCCTGCTGCCTGGGGCACTGCCCTGAGCAGGAGGGAGGGCAGGGAACGCCCTCCTCCTGGATTTGTGCTGCAGGGAGCTGGGGCTGCCAGTGCGGGCGAGGCTGCATCTCGGGGCAGCAGAGCTCCCTCGGCAGTTTCCCTACAAGCCTCCTGGTTGTGTTTATTTTATAGGCAGCCCCCCGGAGCTGTAACCTCGTGTGGGATTTCTGTCCTGAGAGAAGCTTTCAAGATCCTGTCGGACTCTGGGGACCCGGACGCCCTTTTCACCAAACTGGACGAAACAGACTTGCCTTCCCCCAAGCAACTGTCTCCTTCTGTATCCCACAGAACCAAGAGATGCAGAGAAGTGGAGAATCAAGCTTCTGAGACCTCACAACCTCCTGAAACGTCCCATAACATCAAAAACTTGTTCAGCATAAGCAATCTGATCATGGAGTTGGACGGCTCGTCCAGCATGTCCAGCGAGGGCCCCGACTCTTCCCAGGAGCACGTGGTCTCTTCTGCTTCCAAACCTGCTCCGAAATTGCCTGAGAAGCCCTTGGCTGCCCAGAGTGAGAAGTATGGAGCCCCTCTCGTGTGGTATTGTCTGCTCTGCCCCAGTCTTGTCTCGCTGATGTTGGCAGCCTGAGCACCGAACCCTTGCCCTGTGTGCCAAGATGAGTGTTGGCCTTGCCCGCCAGCCCGTGTGGAACTGGGCACAGCAAACCCTCTCTTGCCCGTATGTTTGGCTTTAAAACCAATTATGGGTTAACGAAGAGGAGAAAATGATCGAGTCCTACTGGTAGTGAGGTGCTGCAGCTGGTCCTGGCATGTGATTCCAGTACAAGGAACACGTGTTGCTCTGATTTTTTTGAAGTGTTTTCTTTTATAGTTCTTTGGAAAGTTTTAAAGTTCTCATAAAACTTCTTTAGCCTTCTAATAATGTTTACATGTTTCTACTGGAGTTGTCATGCACTGTTCATGTAAATAATGATTGTTTTGCATTCTTTGTTGAAGTTTTCCTTTTTAATGGAAAAAGGGTGATCCCACAACGAATAATGTAAAACAATTATTATTTATATGAACAGTGTATGATAACTCTAATATGTAAATATTATTAAAAAGCTAAAGGAGTTTTATGAGATCTTTAAAACTTTCAAAAGAACTATAAAAGAAGACACTTTTAAAATCAGAGCAACACACGTTTTTCCACACTTCTCCCAGCTCCATCTCTAGCTGTAGGAGCATCCTTCTCTTGTTTCCCACCTCTTAATAAATACAGTGTCCACAGGCTGTCTCTGCTTGCTTGGTGGCCCTGCACCTGCTCCCCAAAAAACCTCCTGGGCCAGCAGCCAAAGTGAGCCTCACCTCATTCCAGGTCCTTCAAAGGACGGTGGAACAGCTCCTGTGGCACAGAGGAGAAGGACAGCTGGAGTGATGAGGACGAGCTCTTTGCAAATACAGGTACGAGAATCGCCCTGGCAGCGACTCCCTGTGCTGATCCTGGCATGGGGTCACTCACAGGGGTCTTGCTGCTGCCTGGGTGACTGAAGTTTGAAACCAGAAATCCTGTGGAAAGGCTGGGATAAAAGAATTGGGGTGTATTGCCTGTCACAGGGTGCTCTGACTGCACAGCTCAGCAGTTAAGCCCAAGGCAGCTTCTCAGGGAGGTCTGTACCTCCCAAATTATGGGAAATGTAACTCTCTCCCTTGTTTTCCAGTTTCATTTGAGAAAAGCAACCTCTCCAACTCCAGCTCCAAGAAACAGGTATGTGGAGCCTTAGGTGTTTCCAGCATGCCCTGCAGTGGGGCAGTGTCCATGGTAAAAGAGGCTGGAGCTGTGCCCCTCCTGCCTGCAGGGCACTGGGAATGTGCCTCAGGTCCCTTTGATGGCTCAGAACAAGGTTTGCCAAATTCCCCTCACGCTGGACAGGTTCTCGTTCAGGTGAGGGACACACATCTGGCAGCTGTTAGCCAGGAACAGGGCCCACGTTGGTGCCACCAGGAGCTCTCCTGGCCCCTGGGAAGGCAGCTGCTGCACCACAGCTCCCGTGCTGGGGCGTTGTGTGCAGCTGCCAGGACCTGGCTGCCTTCCTGCACGGGTGATGAGGGAAGGGACGTGCCAGGAGGAACTGGCAGCAGGCTGTGTGCCATGCAGCTGTTTCCTTGCTCTTTGTAGAAATGGACCATGCAGGAGAGCGAGTGGATCAAGGAGGGAGTGAAGAAGTACGGAGAAGGGAGGTGGAAATCCATTTGCCTGAAGTACCCCTTCAGGAACCGCACGGCCGTGATGATCAAGGACCGCTGGCGGACCATGAAGAAACTGGGAATGCTCTGAACTTGGGCGCCATAGGACTTTCTTCATGGTTTTTGGACCTGTTTGTTTTTTGGAAGCTGGACCAGAGTGCTGTCTCTGGCAGTGGGGAAGCCCCTCTGACACCAAAAGCGTGGCTGACAGCTCCAGCTGTACCTGCAGAGAGCAGCCTGCTGCATGTGGCAGGGCTGTGCAGCCTCTCAGCCTGAATTTAGACTGAGACTTCCTTGTCCACCTGACCACTGCAGCCTCTGGAACAAATCCCAGCTGTCTGCTCTGCTCAGGTGTGATCAGCAGGATGCTCTCAGAGGTGACTGTTTTTGTGTTTTAGTTGTCTGTTCTCTGAAGCACTTGGATCATCTCTTTGCCATCCCTCCCTTGTAGAACAGGCAGCACTGAGTCCCAGCACTTCTGTGCGGAAGAGATTCAGGCAAGAGGATCTACTTGTATTTTTTCCCCCTATTTCTGTTTTGTAAATGGCTAATCTGTGAGGAGAGATTGCTCCCTTCCAGCTCTGAGGCTTTAAAAAGCTAAAATTACTTTGTCTTTCAGTCCTTGGAACTATTTGTTTCTATGCTAAAACTTTTATTTCTGTCTTTGGTAATGTTTTCTTTGGACTTTTCCTGGTACTAGCCACATGTTCCTGCCTTCAGCTGCAAAGCTGGAAGTCACCTGTAAAATAAAGTTCCTTTCTTGTTTAACATCAAGAGTTGTGAAAGTGTGAATTTGTACCCCATGGGTGGAAATGCAGCAGAGGGGCACAGACTGCCCCAGGAATGTGGGGCTTTCCCTTCCCCTCTGGGAGTGTTGGGCGCTGCCCTGGAGGTACATGGGACACAGGAGTTTCTGGACTAGGTCGGGGCGATACAGGGGCACTTTACAAATTTAGTTTCTAAGTTGCTCTTGGCTGCCATCCAGCAAAGCCAGGGCTGGGAGAAGTTTTGTCTAGGAACAGCTGCTTCCCTCTCTGTCCTTCAGCTGCAGGTGCTGCACTTGGTGCCCCTTGCGCCCTGGCTGTGGCCAAGCGTTTTCCTCCCCTTCTGTAAATCCCTTCCCTGGAGCGCCCTGGGCAGCAGGAGCTTGGGTCAGAGCTGTGGGAGCTCCGAGGCAAGCTCTGAGGCGAGCTGGTGGTGGCCACAGGAGCCGTGTCCCGTTCTTGCCCCCTCCAGGGCAGGCTCCTGCCCCGGCAGCACAGGCTGCGCGCGCTGCAGCTGCGCACGGGAGCAGGTTAATGATTACCCCGTGCCCCGGCCCCGCCTGGGAGCGAGTGCTGGAGCCCCGGGCAGCAGGAGGATGCTGCTGCTGCTGCTCCTGGCTCTGCTGGGCCCCGCTGGCTGCCCCAGGACAGAGCACCTGGGCAGCTCCAGCCAGGAGCCGCCGTTCCGCGGCGCCGACCGCTACGACTTCGCCATCGTCATCCCCGGCGGCAGCGTGGAGTGCTTCTGGCAGTTCTCGCACCAGGGCGGCAACTTCTTCTTCAGCTACGAGGTGAGGGCTAGGGACGTGTCCTGGGACAGGCTGGGCTGGATCCAGCCCGCGTGCTCCTGTGGCATCCTGGAGACTGTGCCTTTCCTAAGGCCCTTCATGGAATTGTGTGGGTCGGAGGCATCTCACAGCTCATTTCCTTCCACCCCTGCCGTGGCAGGGACACCTTCCCCTCTCCCAGGTTGCTCCAAGCCCTGTCCAACCTGAGGGTTGACAACTGCAGGGATGGGGCAGCCACAGCTGCTCTGGGCACCCTGTGCCAGAGCCTCCCCACTGTCACAGGGAAGTATTCCTTCCTAATATAACCAACCTCATCCCAATCTATCATCAATCCCATGGATTTTTTAAACCACCTGCTTTAAGCCCAGGAAGTGGTGCTGGGAGCTCTGGCATAGTTGGAAGCTCTGCCCTTCACTGCCTGGCCCGAGGCTGTGGCACAGCGCTCCTGGCACAGCGTGTGCCTGAGCTCTGTCCCCACAGGGAAACTCCAGCCCTTTCATCTCCTGTTTACACTGGGCTGGCTGAAGGAGAGCCAGGGCACAGCTGTGCCTGGTTGTGGCAGCTTTCCCCTGGCTCAGTGCTTGGCAGAGCAGCCCCACAGGAGCACATCCTCAGGGCTTGGCACAGCTCCATCCTGGACACAACAGTGACCCACAAATCCCCCTCGGGTGTTCCCCGCTCCAGGTCCAGCGGGCGACGGGGATTGGCAACAGCAGGAACGTCCTGGTGACAGCGAGTGATCCCAGCGGCTCCCAGCTTGGAGTGTCCCAGGACGTGCGAGGCCAGATCAACTTCCTCACCCAGGACACAGGCGAGCCCCAGCCCCTGCAGCAGCTCAGAGCCCGCCTGGCCAGGGGGCAGGATGAGGGCTGAGCACCAGGATGTGTCTGCCTGGGGCCCTTCCACCCAGGGACCAACAACCCCCTTCCCTCTGCAGGTTTCTACCAGCTCTGCCTGGACAACCAGCAAAACCACTTTGGCTTCATGCAGGTGTACCTCAACTTCGGTGTGTACTACGACGACTTCAGCATGGAGCACCAGCAGCCAGCAGAGAGGAAGGAGCTGAACGACACGCTGGAGGCAATTGGGGTGAGGCTGAGGGAGGCACAGGGAGCCCCAGCAGAGCAGGGATGGGCACGTCCTGCCCAGGACACTGAGCAGGGCCTCTGCCCGGGCTGAGCTGCAGCTGAGTGCTGCACTGAGCCCCAGGGGCAGCTCTGAGTGCAGCTCTGCCTCTCCTGCAGGTGAGCATCCAGAGGCTGCAGGTCCACATCTTCCACATCTGGCGCTTCTACAACTTTGCCCGGATGAGGAAAGGGGCCGACTCCTTCCTCCTGGAGTCCAACTACAACTATGTCAACGGGTGGTCAATGGCCCAGAGCTGTGTCATCGTCCTCTCCGGGCTGCTGCAGCTCTGCTTCCTCAAGCGCCTCTTCCACGTGCAAACCTCGGGCAGCCAGAAGTGCTAGAGCAGGGCAGGGACCTCCCTGCAGAGCCAGGGGACCTGGCTGCCACTCTGTCCCACCACGGAGCAGGAGGAAAGGCTGGATTCCACTTCCAGAAGGAGGCTGGAGAGTTCTCCCTGCTCCTGCCTTATCTCTAGCCCTCATCCAGGGAAAAGTCAAAGGCCACACTGTCACCTGAGTTCTGTGTGCTGTGCGGGTTTGTCACATCCCTACCCATTGCTAGCATCTTAATGGGCCTTTTCTACCAGACTCCCAATAAAGGAACCCCTGGCAGAGTCCAGGGAATGCCTGCTGCCCTCCAGCCTCTGTGAGAGCAGAAGATGCTGGGCACTCCCTCCCTCCCTCCCTCCCTGAAACTCAGACTCTGAGGCTCTCCCCAACCTCATCAATCCCCCCAAACACACGCCAGTGTGTCACACTGCCCACAGGAGGAGCGAGGACTCATTCCCCCAGACCTCCACACCAGACAAGAGGCACTGAGAAAAGGATCAGGCTTTATGTGACAGGGCTGGGGCCAGGGCCCCTCCTCCCGTGCTGGCAGCAGCCCCCTGAGGGCTCTGGGGCTCTGTGCTGGCAGCTCCCCACGTCTCCATCCCACTCGGAGTGGGCTTCCCGCAGCCACGGGAAGGACAGAGCCCGTTCCAGCCCAAACACTCACAGAGCACGAGGGTCCCCAGGGTCCCCGGGGTCCCTTATGTCAGCGTCTCCTCGTTCCGCACGTACTCGCCGACGTCGGCTTGGTGGAACACCACGATGGCCAAGGGGTCGACCTTGCGGCACTCCTGGGTGGACTTGGCAGCCACCCCGAAGCCCTGGGGGACGGAGGGGAGGTGAGGGAGGGTCGCCCAGGGTCTGGTATCCCCCCGCAGCCCTGGTGGGGCCAGGCGCTCACCAGCGGGACGTCGGCCATGGAATACACCACGACGCCCTGGTACTGCGCCGTGTTCTCCGTGATGCGGCCCAGCCCCGACTTCAGCACGTGGTTCCCGTAGAGGAAGGACTGCTCCGAGCCCGGCTTCACCCACACCTTGTACTGAGAGAGAGGGGCAGGGCCTGAGGGGCCGTGGGGCTGGCACGGGGCTGTGGGCTGGCACAGGGCCGTGGGGCTGGCACAGGGCCGTGGGGCTGCCATGGGGCTGGCACAGGGCCGTGGGGCTGGCACAGGGCCGTGGGGCTGCCACAGGGCCATGGGGCTGGCATGGGGCTGTGGGGCTGGCATGGGGCTGTGGGGCTGGCATGGGGCTGGCACAGGGCCGTGGGGCTGGCATGGGGCTGTGGGGCTGGCATGGGGCTGTCACGGTGTCGTGGGGCTGGCATGGGGCCGTGACCCACCTTGGCATAGGGCGCGAGGAAGTCCAGGGCAGTGACGCTGAGCCGGAACTTGTGGGATTTGGTGAACTTGCCAAAGCAGCTGCCCGGGGCCACCAGGCTGTCCCGGGGCACGCTGGCTGCCAGCTTCAGCAGCTTCTCACTGCGGGAGGGAAACGGAGATTTTAAGGAATTTAGAGATTTTAATTAGAGATAAGCCTTACTAGAGTTAATTGGAATAAATGAGTAGGCCTTGGTGAAGTTAAGAGTTTGTAATTAACTAGTAACTGATTGCTTGTCAGCACAATGTTGAGTTAGCTGGGTTTACAATGAAGAATACACAAACTGACAAAGAGCTTTTAGGAACATAAGACAATTCTGGGGCTCCTCTGAAACCAACTGAAGACAAGGAATGGGAGTTCTACCAAGAGTTCATTTGTCATTTTTGCATTGAAAAGGTAGAAAGGCCAGAACAAGGAAGACTTCATTGACTTCCTCATTTTGGGACCTCTCCCCATGAAAGGGACACCGACCCATTTCAAGGAACAAATCACACATGCTGAATGGCTTTGGGAGTGATTGGCATAGGAAGTGAGGAATGGGCTGTACCAAAATGATGAATATGCATTTGTATTTTGGGTATTCAATACCTGTATGGATAAAAGGGCTCTGTAATCACCTGGAAGGGGCGGTGTGGATTTGGGAGCAATCCCACACACAACAAACACATTTTCTAACTTTAAACCGTTAGAGAGTTTTTGTCCCTCACAGCTGGCTGTCGGTGCTAGCTCAATGTCCGGATTTCCCAATCAAGCAGGGGCAGGGCCGCGCCCGCCGCTCACCTGAGGTAGAACACGCGCTCCCGGTGCAGGCGGAAGCAGTAGGTGCCGTCGGGCCGGTCCACCAGCAGCTGGATGTTCTCCCCGATGCTGCGGGACCGAGCCCGTCAGCCCGGCCCGTCCTGCCGCGGGACCTCCGGGGCTCCCGGTGCCCCGCCGGGCCGGGACACAGCACCCCTGGCTGCCCGTGGTCTCCCCGTTCCCCGCGATCCAGCCCGCCCGGTGCCCATCCCTCCCGGTGCGCATCCCTTCTCCGTGCCCGGTCCCGCCCGGTGCCCAGTGCCCATCCCTCCCGGTGCCCATCCCTTCCCCGTGCCCGGTCCCGCCCGGTGCCCAGTGCCCATCCCTCCCGGTGCCCATCCCGCCCGGTGCCCATCGCTTCCCCGTGCCCGGTCCCGCCCAGTGCCCGGTCCCGCCCGGTGCCCATCCCTGCCGGTGCCCGTGCCCGATCCCCGGCATCCCGCCGGCCCCGGCCCCTCACTATTTCCCGAGCTTCTCGAACACCGCGCGCGTCTCCGCCTCCGTCAGCGGCCGCATCTCCCGCGCCGCGCACGCGGGGCCGCCGCGGCCGGAAGCGAGCGGCGCGGGACGGGCGGAAGCGGAAGTGACGGAGGCGGAAGCGGCGGGCGCGGGGGTGACGCGGCGGCGATGGCGGCGGCGGCGGCGGAGGAGGCGCGGCTGCTGGCCTGGCTGCGCGGCCCCGCGGCGCCCGGCGGCCCCGAGCTCGCCGCTTACGTGTCGGAGCTGGCGGCGCTGGGGCTGGCGGAGCTGGGCCGGGAGCCGGCGCGGCTGGCGGCGGAGCGGGCGCGGGTCGGGGCCGAGACGCGCCGCCTCGCCTTCGAGCACTACCGAGCCTTCATCCGCTCCGCCGAGTGCACCGGCCGCGCCGGCCGCGGCTTCGGCGGCATCGAGAGCCGGCTGGGCAGGCTGCTGGAGCGGCTGCCCGCGCTGCAGGACGCCTGCCGGTGCGGGACGGGCACCGGGCACCGGCAGCGGGTGGGGACGGGGCAGGGCGGGCCGGGATGGGCTGCGAGGCCGGTGGGGACGGCAGCGTCCCCGATGCAGGCGCTGCGGGCAGGGCTCTCCCGCTGATGCCGTGCCGCCCCGCAGGAGCTTCATGCGCGATGCCGAGGCCATCGCCTGCAGCCGGCGCATGAACAGCCTGACGCTGAACCGGCACACCGAGATCCTGGAGATCCTGGAGATCCCGCAGCTCATGGACACCTGCGTCCGGAACGGCTACTACGAGGAGGCCCTGGAGCTGACGGCCTACGTGCGCCGGCTGGAGAGGAAGCACAGCAGCATCCCCGTTATCCAGGTGAGCCCCGCAGTGCCTGTGCCCGCGACTGGGGTGAACCCCGTGTTGTGCCATCCTGGGATCCAGCAGAACCCTGTGCTGACCCAAACCCCTGACCCAGGTGACCCCCACGCTGCCCCGTGTCTGTACCTGACTTGTTGCTCTGGTTTTTAAAAGTGTTACATTTTCTTTTATAGTTCTTTTGAAAGTTTTAAAGTTCTCATAAAACTTCTTCAGCCTTCTGATAATGTTTACAGGTTTCTACAGGAGTTCTCACACACTGTTCATGTAAATAATGATCGTTTTGCATTCTTCTTTGTGGGAGGAGGGAATTGATGGGCTGTTGGTTTGACCAGTGTGGTTGGAGAGGTGGCAATTCCACCCTCCAATCCACTGCCACTTTTGGAATTCTGTATATTGCGAGGTCAGAAATAGAACCGCCTCTTTTTCTCTGTTGAACTCCCCGAGCTGTGCACTCGTTTGGTGTCCAGCAGCGGCCCTGAGCACAGGCTCTGTGTTCCGCAGGGCATCGTGGAGGAGGTGCGCCAGTCGGCCCAGCTGATGCTGAGCCAGCTCATCCAGCAGCTGCGCACCAACATCCCGCTGCCCGCCTGCCTGCGCGTCATCGGCTTCCTGCGCCGCATGGACGTGCTCACCGAGGCCGAGCTGCGCGTCAAGTTCCTGCAGGCGCGCGACGCCTGGCTGCGCTCCGTGCAGGCCTCCGTCCCCGACCACGACCCCTACGTGCACCTCACCAAGACCATCGAGGCCTGCCGCGTGCACCTGTTCGACGTGGTCACCCAGTACCGCGCCATCTTCTCGGACGAGGAGCCGCTGGCCGAGGCCGCGGCGCCCGGCGAGGGGGCCATCTTCCACAGCTGGGTGCTGCAGAAGGTCTCCGAGTTCCTGCGCGCGCTGCGGCGCGACCTGGAGCGCGGCGTGGGCGGCCGGCTGGACTCGCTGCTGGGGCAGTGCATGTACTTCGGGCTGTCCTTCAGCAGGGTGGGCGTGGATTTCCGCGGGCAGCTGGCCCCCCTCTTCCAGCGCGTGGCCGCCGACGCCTTCGGCAAGGCGGTGGAGGAGGCGGTGGAGAAGTTCCGGGAGGAGATGAATTCCTATACCCTGATCTCGGCTCCGGCCGTGCTGGGGGGCACTGCAGCGGTGCCGGTGCCCACAGCCCAGCCTGGCACGCTGCAGCCCCCCATGGTGCTGCTGGACTTCCCACCCCTTGCCTGCTTCCTCAATGGGCTCCTCGTTGCCTTCAATGACCTGCGGCTCTGCTGCCCCATCGCCCTGGCACAGGATGTCACCGCCTGCCTGGACGCTGCCCTTGGCGAGGTGAGCCCGCAGGATGGAGCTCAGTCCTGGGAGATCATGGGCCAGATTCGTTCTGGGTTGGGAAAGCCTCTGAGATCATCCAGTCCAACCAAACCCTGCACTGCCAAGGCCACCCCTAAGCCGTGTCCTCAAGTGCCACATCCACACAGCTGTTAAATCTACCCAGGGATGGGATTCCACCGCTGCCCTGTGCCAGGGCTGGACAGCACTTTCCGGGAAGAAATTTTCCTCATGTCCCACTTAAACTTCCCCTGGGACAACTTCAGGCTCTTTTCTTGTCCTGTCCCTTGTTCTTTGGGAGCAGAGCCCAGCCCCACCCTGGGAGTAGTGGAGGGTGAGCAGGTCCCTCTCGAGCCTCCTTTTCTCCAGGCTAAGCCCTCCCAGCTGCTCCTTGTGCTTGAGCTCCTTCTCCAGCTCCCTTCCTTTCCCTGCACACACTCCAGTCCCACAGTGTGTATCTCTGATGTCCCAGAACTGACCTCAGGATTCAAATGTGGCATCACCAATGCCCAGCACAGGAAGATGGGCACTGCCCTGGGCCTGTGGCCACACTGTTGCTGGTACAAGCCAAGTGCCACTGGCCTCCTTACCCACCTGGGCACGTGGCTGTCACCAGGTGACCTGTCCGCCTCTCTCTCTGCCCAGGTGACCAAAACCATCCTGGCCTTCCACCGTGCTGAGGAGGCGGCTTTCAGCGGGCGGGAGCAGGAGCTCTTTACCCAGTTTTGCACAGCATTCCTGGAGGACCTGCTGCCCTACCTGAACCGCTGCCTCCAGGTGCTTTTCCCTCCAGCACAGATTGCACAGGCACTGGGTGAGTTCTCAGGCCTTGGTTTTTGTTGCAGGGGGAGGACACCCGTGGCTTCCCCCGGCGCTGAGCGGGCCCTGTCCTGCTCTTGCCCCTCTGCGGGGTCTCGATGCCCGCAGAGCCCCTCACCCCTCTCTCCCCTTCCCAAGGTGTCCCCCCGACGCAGCTGCAGCGTTTCGGCCGCCTGGGCCGCATCGACGTGGCCGCCCTCAGGGAGCCGCTGGCTTTCCTCCTTCCGCCGGCACCGGGCGGGGAGGAGCCGCCACCGGAGACCGCCCCGGACGCGGAGAGGGAACACGCGGCCGTGCCCACCGAGCCCACCGAGGGTCCCTCCGGAGATGCTGCGCTGCCGGGGGAGGGTGACCCGGTGGCCACGGGGTAACCGGGCCGGGGCCCGCCCGCGTCACCGGGGGAGCGACCCGGGCCCCGCCCGCCCCGGGGCCGCCAGGGGGCGCTGCGGCGGCGCGGGTGCGCGCGCACCCGGTGCGCCATGGCGGCGGCGGCGGCGGCGGGACGCGCCCTGCCCGGGCTCCCGGGACGGGCCCCGCCGGGGCCCCCGCTGCTCCCCCCGGGACGGGCCCCGCCGAGGCTCCCGGGACGCGCCCTGCCGGGGCTCCCGGGGTGGGCCCCGCCGGGGCTCCCGGGACGGGCCCCGCCGGGGCCGCCGCTGCTCCCGGCCCGCGCCTGCGGACACGCGGCGGGCTGGGACCGGCGGGAGCGCTCCTACTGGCGGGCGCTGCGGCGGCGGGTGCTGGGCCCGCCCGTGCCGCCGTTCGCCGCCCCGGTGCAGGTGGGAGCCCCGGTGCTGCGCGGCGCCGCCGCCGCCGTGCCCCCGGAGCAGTTGGGCGGCCCCGAGCTGCGGCGGCTGGCGGCGGCGCTGGCGGCCGGGCTGCGGGACCGGCCGTGCCTGGGGCTGAGCGCTCCGCAGCTCGGGGTGCCGCTCCGGGTTTTCGCCGCGGAGCTGCCGCCCGCCCGCTGCGCCCAGTACCCGGCGGAGCTGCGCCGAGCGCACCACATCGAGCCCTTCCCGCTCCGCGTCCTCGTCAACCCCGCGCTCCGCGTCCTCGACAGCCGCCTCGTCACCGGCCCCGAGGGCTGCGCCAGCATCCACGGCTTCTCCGCCTACGTCCCGCGGCACTGGGCCGTCCATGTCTCCGGTACGGACCGACCCGCCCTGTCCCGGGTGGGACCCTGCACCTGCCCCTCCCTCGCGCGGTGCCCGTCTCTTGCACGGCTCCTGCAGTGTCCCGGTTCCCCCTCTCACGCGGGTTCCTATTTTTTCCCCATCATCACCCCCCAACCCACCGCTCCCCCGGGCGCAGGCGTGGACGAGCTCGGGGTGCCGGTGAGCTGGGAGGCGTCGGGCTGGGCCGCCCGGATCATCCAGCACGAGATGGACCACCTGGATGGGATCCTCTACATCGACCGCATGGACCCGCGCACCTTCACCAACGTGGGCTGGATGGAGCTGCTGGACTGAGCCTGCCAAAAGAACCGGCGTGGCTCCGGGGCTCCGGCTCGGCTTTACTGCAGCCAATACAGACCTGTGGCCTCAGCGTGGCTCCGGCCCTTCCTGCAGCCAATACAGACCTGTGGCCTCAGCGTGGCTCCGGCCCTTCCTGCCCACGGCTGTGCACAGGAGGCAGCCGGCGTCCTGCCCACCCTGCCCTGGGCACCGGGAATTCCTCGTGGGTCTAGCAACAACCTGCTGCCAAGGCTGTGCAGGGGAGGGGCACTGAGGGGATCCTTCCCTCTGGGGCTTGTTTGGGGCTCACAGTCACAGTGTGGGCAGTAGCTGGGCACAGCACAGGGGGCACCGGGATGGGGTGGGGGGACAGCAAGGCTGAGGGGAGCCCAGGGACTGCACAGGAGGACATGGGGTATGGGCAGGTGGGTGTCATCAGCTGGTGGCTGCTTCATCCAGGTAGCTCTCTGTAGGCACAAATCCCTGTCTGGGAGGCTGGAGTGTGAGGAACGCCCTTGGGATAGGCAGAGGTCTTTGCTCTGGGTCATTGCATTTTGGGGGGTGGGGGGCTGGGCTGAGCCCCCTGGTGTGGGCAGAGCCTTGGGGAGTGGCTGGGCACCAGCTGAAGCACTCGGATTGTTTTTATTTTCATATAAACAAGACAGAACCCAAAGCAGCATTAAGTTAAAAAATAAAAAAAGAGCAGGAAGAAGAGTGGAGTGCAGCCCGGGAGGGACCCGGCCGCCCAGGCCATGCTCAGACCCACCCCCCGTAGTGTGACCCCCGGGCCGTGTCCCCGCAGTGCAATGGGGCAGGAGTGAGCGAACACGAGTCGGTTTGGCACGGCCAGGGAGGGGGGCACAGCGGGGCCTGCAGCTGCCCCAACCCCACACCCCCCATGCCCTCCTCAACCTTCCTGTCCAAAGTCCTCCGTGAATTTCTTCACTTTGAGGAGATCCTCGGCGTTGACGGTGGGGCGGGTGGTGGCCAGCGAGCGCAGCATGTCTGACTGCAACACAGGTGCGTGGGCACGTGGCTCAGACCAGGCAAGGGCACGGGATGGGGACCCCCAGGGCAGTGAGGCACCTTTGCCCCATGGCAGCAGCACGGACCACAGGTGGGAGCTGCCTGGCAGTCCCAAGCCCCTTTCCTGTCACCCAGCCCTCCTCTGGGGGTTAGACCGTGGGTTTGTGTCCACCTCCAGGAGCCACAGCCCTGCGTGCCCTCGGCCTGGAGGACGAGCAGGGAAGCAGCCAGGCCAAAGCCACAGACGGGACACTTACCATGCAGACAACGGGCTCCATCAGCTTGTCACTGGGCACCTCCATCCAGGTCATCTCGATGGCCCCAGGGTCACCGGGCGAGCACGGCGTCAGGAGATCGTCCACGAGGGCACCGGGGGTGGTGCGGGAGGGCCCACGGACCTGCACAGAGCCGGTGGCACGTGGCACAGAGCTCGGGGTGGGGGCACAGCAGGCACAGGGCCCACCCCTCCCCAGGACCACCCCGGCAGCCCCCGCTCACCTTCTTGAAGTGCGTGGCCGACTGCACCTTGCGCACGGGCTGCATCAGGGCGTCCCGCACGATGATGCTGATGTCGGCCCCCGAGTAGCCGTCGGTCTTGCGGGCGAGCTCCTGGATGTTGGCGTCCGTCAGGGAGTGCGGGGTGTTCCCCAGGTGCAGCCGGAACATCTGGGCCCGCGCCGCCTCCTCGGGCAAGGGGATGTAGATCCTCTTCTCGAACCTGGGGGCACGAGGGGTGAGCCCCAACTCCAGCCCTGCTGGGGAGCTGGCACGGGGGGCTGTACATGGGGCTCACCTTCTCCTGATGGCCGAGTCCAGCACCCAGGGGATGTTGGTGGCACCCAGCACCAGGATCCCGTCGCTGCTGTTTCCCACACCTGTGGGCACATGGCTCGGGACAATCTCCAGGGATTCTCTGAATCCCCAGGTTCCAAGCCTGCCTCATCCTGCTCCCACCCATCCCTGGGACGGGCCCCCACCCACCCTGCATCTGCACCAGGAACTCGGTCTTGATGCGCCGGGCCGCCTCACTCTCGTTCTCGTTGCGGGAGCCACACAGCGAGTCCACCTCATCGATGAAGATGATGGAGGGCTTGTGCTGCCTGGCCAGCTCAAACAGGTTCTTCACCAGCCTGGGAACAAAGCAGGGGATGGGGTCCCTGCTCAGAGACCCTCCTCAGCAGCACCACGGCAGCCCCACGTTCCTCCCATCCTGAGAAGCCCATGCTGGCAGCAAGGCAAGTGCCACACCAGGGGCTGTGTGGGCCCCTGGGACCCTACTGGGGATTAAAGTAAGTCTAATTATAGGATACAGAAATTAATCATGTAGAGTTAAGTTTAATTATGACTTGCTCACAGCTTGGCAGGGGTGAGCTCTCCTCAAAGCTCACTGTAAGTGAGCTGTAAATGAATTCTAAGCATGGACAGATGGGAAACTTTCAGGTAAGAGCTGCAACTCTGGAGGGCCCCAAAGCTGCCCCAAGATGGAGCATGAGAGCAGTTAATTAAGAAAAGCAGACAGAATCCAGTTAAGTGTTAGAAGACCCCAGTTTTAAGTCGCTGTTGGATTGAGAGGTCTGAAAAGATGAGGGGGCACAGGCTGTGAGGGAAGAGGCCCAGGGACTGCATTTCTCAGACTCCCTCTCTGAAGGCACCAACTCCCAGTTCTTTAACAGCCCCATTATTGGGGTCCCTGATGCTGGTGACCCCTGCCCCAGCCCACAGCCCAGCCAGGGCTCCAGGAGCCACTGTGGCCATGTCCCCGCTGCCAACTCACTTCTCACTCTCCCCCAGCCACTTCGACGTCAGGTCAGAGGATGACACAGAGAAGAAGGTGGAGTTGTTGGCCTCGGTGGCCACGGCCTTGGCCAGGTAGGACTTGCCAGTGCCAGGTGGCCCAAAGAGCAGGATCCCGCGCCAGGGCGTGCGCTTCCCTGTGGCAGAGACCGGGGTCAGGCCTGCCCATCCCTGCGCCCAGATCCGTGCTGGGATCACCCACAGAGGGGTCACCTTCTGCACAGCCCCTTCCCACTACCGTGGCCTCACCTGTGAACAGGTGTGGGAACTTGATGGGCAGGATCACGGCCTCCTTCAGGGCTTCCTTGGCTCCCTCCAGCCCGGCCACGTCGCTCCACCGCACGTTGGGCTTCTCCATCACGATGGCACCTGTGAGGGTGTGACTCTGCTCACACAGCCCCACAGAGATGGGCACAGATAGCACTGAGAGCCAGGGTCCCTACCCACACCCCCAGCAGCTGTTTGGGGTGAGCAGCCCACAGGAACGGGCCCCAGCCCCACAGCCTGTCCCCCTCCCCACAGCCACCCCTTGACAGGGCTGTCAGAGAATCCCTCCTAACCAGAGGGTCGAGCCCACCACAGCCTCTCTCACCCATCAGCTGCTCCTGCAGCTTCTTCTTCTCAGGGTTCTCGCCCTCGCTGTCACTGTCACTCCTGGGGACAGGGGATAGGGCTCAGGAGCGGGACTGGCACCGGTATGGCAAGGGGGGTCCTGCCAGCTCCGTGCCAGACAGGGGATCCCTCGCCCCCGTCCCCCACGCACCCCTTGTTGTCATTCTGCGCCTCTCTGACGGGCCTCTTGCCGTGCCTGTCCTTGCTCCGCAGGTACTCCTTCAGCTTCTCCGCCCGGTCCAGGTACTGCACGCACTTGGCTCGGATGCTCTCCTTGGCCTTGTCGCTGTGAGCCTCATCTGCAGGGACCCGCAGGCGTCACCGGGAGCCCCGAGCGCCGGACCCCCCGCGCCCCGCCCGGTCTCACATTTGATGGCGTGCAGGAAGTACTCCACGGCGTGCTGGTACAGCCGCAGTGCCTCCTCGTAGTTCTTGGCCCTGTCCTCCTCGGTGGCTTTGGTGACCAGGTCGATGGCTTTCTGCGGGGGGCAGCGCCGTCAGCACCGGGCACCGGGCACCGGGCACCGGGCACCGGGCACCGGGCGGGCCCCTCCCCACCGCCGGGCCGGGCCCGCCCGCACCGCGGCTCCGGCGCTGCGCCGGCTCCCTGCCCACCGCGCCAGCACCGGGGCTCGGCCCGGCTGGGCGCCCTCGGCGGGCCCCGCACCGGGCCCGGGTGAGGCCTCTCCCAGGCCGGCGCGGCACCGGGGCCCGGTGAGGCCTGTCCGCCGGGCCGAGCGGAGGCCCGCAGGCAGGGGGCCGGAGCCCCGGCCCCGTGGCGGTGCCCGCGGCCGGTACCTGCAGGGTGGACGTTGTCATCGCATCGCCCGGTGCGGCCGCTCCGGCGGCCCCGGGACGGCGGCGGCGGCGGCGGCGGCGACTGCGGCTGCGCGGGGCCGCGCGCCCCCTGCCGGCCGCGCCGCGGCGCGCGCCGCCCCGCCCACAAACGGGCGGGGCTTATGAGAGACGAATAATATATTCATGTGTTCATGTGGGCGTGGCTTAGATGGACACGCCCATTGGCTGACATTGCATGTTTGGGCGTGGTTTACCTTAGCCCCGCCCACAAAGCCCCGCCCCGCGGGCGCGGTGTGCGCGGGAACGCCCCAAAAACCCGGGAACGCGCGTGGGGGTGTGTGTGTGGGTTTGGGTGAGTTTGTGTTCACCTGTGTGTGTGTTCATGAGTGTTCACGCGTGTCTGTGTGTGTGTTTGGGTGTGGGTGTGTGTGTGTGTGTGTTTATGTGGGTTTGGGTGAGTTTGTGAGAGTTTATGAGTGTCTGTGTGTATCTGGGTTTGCGTGAATGAGTGTTCATATGTTTGTGTGTGTGTCTGTGTATGTGTGTGTTCGTGAGTGTTCAAATGTGTTTGTGCATGTGTTCATGTGCCCGTGCGTGTATTTACGTGTTCATATGTCTGTTTGTGTTTACGCGTCCTTGTGTGTGTGTGTGTTCCTGTCTGTATGTGTACTTACATGTTCATGTGTCTGTTTACCTGTTCACATCTGTGTGTTCACATGTCTCTGTGTGTTTACCTGTTAACACGTGTGTTTACATGTGTGTGTGTGCGTGCCCAGGCACACACCCCTGTGTGCACGTGTACGGTATTTCCCTGCGCACACACTCACACTCAAACACCTGTGCCCACTGCTGTGCCCACAGCTCAGCTGGCCCTGCTGCCCCTGCTCTAAAAGGTGCCCCAGCCCCCTAAGAAATCCCCATAGAGACCGTGCCTCAGTTTCCCCAGAGATCCCCCACTCCTTCCTGAGACCCCAACCCCTCCATCACCCCCAGACTCCCCCAATCCCCCCACTCCTTCCAGAGACCCTCGTTCCTCCCACCATCCCCACACCAGACTCAAAATGAGACCCGGAGCCCCTGGAAAAGGCAATCTGATATAAATAGCGATTTACAAAGAATACAAAAATAGAAGGAGGGGGGGCAGCACCCCGAGCCAGCACCCACAGGACCCCACAGCCCCCCGGGAGCAGAGAACCGTGCAGCAGTCTGCCGGGGGCTGGGGGGTCCCGGCAGGAGGGGGACCCTGGAGGTCCATCCGTGCCCCCCAGCCCCCAGGGTGTGGGAGCCGCCCCCGGGGGGAGGGAAAGTACAAAAAGCGAAAAGTGCATCAATCTACGTGTCCTGCCCCGGGGGATTCCCGGTGGAGCGGCAGCCCCGGAGGGTCCCGGCAGCCCCGGAGGGTCCCGGCAGCCCCGGGCACAGACACGGCGTTTGTTCAGCCTTTGGGAGGTTTGGGGGTCACTGCTGGGGGGCAGTGGGGCATGGGGGGGGAGGCCAAGCCCCGGGGAGCAGGACCCTGGGCCAGAACACCCCTCTGCACCCCTGAGTGCCCCCTGTAAGACAAATGTGTCCCCCCACCCTGAGCAGGGCGTGGAGACCCTGTCATGCAGCAATTGAGGGTCCCACAGCCCCAGCCCTGCCCCGTGTGGGGACAATGTGACCTCTCTGGGGGCAGCCCCAAGGCAGGGGGACCCCGGATCCCCTGGAAGAGAGCCGGGGGCACCAGGGGTCCCCCGGGGGAGCCCGAGCTGGCCCCGCTCCAAGGCACAGGCGGTGAGATCGGTGATGGCTTCAGCCCCAGGGGTAAAGCCGGGGTGTGCACCCCGAACCCGGGGGGGTAAAACCGGGGTGTGCACCCCGACCCCGGGGGGGGAAAGCTGGTGTGTGTACCCCGACCCCGGGGGGGGAAAGCTGGTGTGTGTACCCCGACCCCCGGGCACGCTGGGGTGGGCAGGAGGGGCTCCCCCCCGCAGCCGTCCTGCCGCGCTCCCGGCGGGATTCAGGGCGGGATCCCACTCCCAGCAAGGCACTGATGGGGCAGGAGAGGTTGGGGGGCCCTCTGTGACCCCCAGCTGGTTGGTGACAGGGCCAGGGCGCTGGGGCACCTATGCCAGCAGCCCCATGCGGGTGACTTTGGCCGAGAGGAAGGTGTGCAGGACGAAGACGATGGGCTTGGGGCAGGAGTGCAGGTCCAGCGCCTGGGGGGAGACGGAGAGTGGCGTCAGCCGCCCCCAGTCCCACCGGGGACTGCGGGGTGGGGTTCCCATCAGCCAAACCCAGCGAGTCTGGGCAGGGATGGGGGAAAGCAGGAGGCAGCAGGGGATGCCCTGGAGGAAGACCCCCAAGCCAGGGGTGAGCCTGGCTGCCCCCTCCTCACCAGCTCCCCCTCGGGGCCCCCGAAATCCAGGTAGAGGGTCCTGATGCCATCATCCGCGGACATCTTCAGCCGCTCGTAGGGGTAGCGGAAGAGCACGCTGGAGCCCGGCTCGTCCCGGGAGATGGTGAACCCGGCCTCGTAGTGGATGGAGAGCTGCACCTCCTGCCCGCCCAGCGTGCAGCCTGCGGGCACGGCTCCGTCAGCCCCGGCGGGGGCACGGGGGCGGCGGGGCCCGGCGCCGCAGCACTCACCCACGGTCACCTCCTTGATCAGCTCGGCGGCGGCGTGGCAGCCCTGCACCAGGACGCGCGTCCACGCCGACAGGTCCCGGTGGGTCTCCACGCGGAACACGTGCATCTCCACGCCCTGGCGAGAGCCCGTGCGCGTGGCGAACGTCAGCTCCGAGCCCAGCGCGGGCGAGCGGCGCCCGGAGCCCGAGTGCACCAGCCTGGAGGGAAGCGCAGGGCTGCGGTCAGCGGTGCCACGGCCGCGCCGCCAGCACGTCGCCCCGTCGGCGTTTTGGGGTTTGATCCCTGCTCTGAGGCACAGCCACGGCCCGAGGGGCCCAGCCCCGGCTCACCTGGTGGCCACCAGCGGGTAGCTGTGGCAGGGCGAGGCCCAGGCGTCCCTGGTCCAGGGCATCCCATCGTACAGCAGCAGGTCCTTCTCCGTCACTGCCATCAGCACCGGCCGCCACTGCTGCCGCCCGCCGTCCAGGCGTGCCTGCCGGGCACCAGGGCACCATGAGGGGTGCCAGGGATCCCCCACAGCCCAGGCACCCAACCCCTGAGCCCACGGTCACACGGACCCCCACCCAGTGGTTCCCCACGGCCAGGGAGCATCCACAGCGCTGGGAAACCAAGCTGGGAGCAGCCCCCCGGGGTCCTGCTCACCACACTGCCAGGCTGGCTGCAGCTCTCAGGCAGTGAATTCATGGAATAGGGATGGTGTGATGAGGGCTTCCATCTGGAAAATCCCAGTGGGAGAAGGGGCTGAGGGCATGGGAAATGCTGCCATCACCGGGGCACAGCTGGATGAGACAGCAGCAGAGCCCAGGCTGGGCTCTCGGGCTGCATCCTCAGCCATTGGCACCGCTGTGCCCGGGAGCACGTACCTGCTCGGCCAGCCAGGCGATGTGCTTCACCTCCCGGCCCCCAGCCGGGGGGCTGCCGGCGCCCAGCGTGGCATTGAGCTCGGCCAGCACCTGGGGCAGCAGCGCGGCGATGTTGGCGTGCAGGGCACTGAACCAGGCGTGGGCCGTGGCCGTGTCCCGGCACCGCAGCACCAGCGTGTTCCGGCTGTCCGGCGAGTGCAGCTCGATCAGCCTGCGAGGGGACGGGGACATGGCCCAGGCTGGGACACCAGTGAGCCCCTGCCTGGGCCCAGCACAGCAAACTGGCCGCGCCGGTTTGGGGCTTGTGCTGTGCCCTCATTTTAAGGCAGAGGGGCTGCCAGGCGCCTGGGAGGGAACGTGGTATAGCCCTGGCCAAACCCTCTGGAGTGTCCTTCCACAGCTCAGTGGGCAAAGCAGGGGTTATGGCCTCAGTGAGGGGCAGCCCAGCTGCGCCCGGGGTGTCCACGGGGTGTGGGGGTCCCTCACACTGGCACTGGTGGATAGACCTAGTCCTGTCCTGGGGGTCTTTGGGGAGCAGGATCTCCCCCACCGGGACCCAGCAGCAGCCCCTGCCCTCACCTGTTCTCCAGGTCGGGCATGCTGAGGTTCCGGGCAGCGAAGCACATCTTGAGGGGGATCACCTTGCGGTCACGGGGGCCCTGGTGCTGGGGGGACCCCGAGTCCTCACTGCCACTCAGGCTGGGGGACTGCGGGGCTGCCCCCTCCCACGGCAGGTCTGACACCAGCGATGGCTTCTTGATGTAGGGGGTCACCTCCCGCATGAACTTCACTGGGGCGGAACGGGGGCACAGTCAGGCCTGGGGAGGGTCCTGCACCCCCCACCACAGCCCCGTGCCCCAGGATTGATCTGACAGGGCAACGTGACCCTCGCACAACAAGGCTCGGAGGGTCCTGGGGGGTCCCACCCTGCCCGGGTCAGGGATGTCCCGAGTGAAGGACGGTGCTGGCAGCTCATCCCGCTGCCGGCGCGGGTGTAGGAAGGGGAAGGCGCCACAGGACAATGGTGCTGGGCAGGAGGTCAGGCTGCAGCCCATCCTGGTCCCATCCTGCCGGAGCAGCCAGGACTGTACCCGCCAAGTTTCCAGCGCTGCCGGCGATGCTGGGCCGGGAGCGCCGCTCACGCCCCGACGGCGGCCGGCCTCCGCTCCGCAGGGCGAGCAGGGTGGGCAGCCAAGACATGCCGGCTCCTCGCGCCTCTCCAGGCCAGGAAGGAAGGAAGGAGGCACCAGCTCCTGCTCCCCCCGGACTGTCCCACCCCGCTGACAGCAGCCCTGGACCCCCGCCCGGACACGGCTCCCGGCCGCCCCGCCAAGCCCAGGCAGCCAAGGCCAAGGGAGGGACGCGCCGGGGACAGAGATGGGGCAGCGAGAGGGAAAACCAAAGCAAACCAGCAAATCGGCTGTGCTGCACTGGGAAGCAAGTGGTGAAAGGATCCTGGAGCCGGCACAATGCCACAGCCAGGCCCTCTGGAGGGGGAGCGACGCTGCTGGTGGGGCCCATGCTGTGCCGCTGCCAATCCTGCGCCGTGGGGCTGCCGAGCGGGAAGGGGGAGCGAGGATGGGGCGGCAGGGACGGGGAGCGGGCAGGAGACACCAGCCCCCCGCTTCCCAGCGGCTCTGCTGAGCCACGAGGTGCTTGCCCTTGCTGCGGGCAGCACAGGAGTTAATATTAGCTGCTGCCGCCGCGCTGATCCCGGGATTACCGCCGGCCCCACACCCCTAATCCCGCTGCCGGGCCGGGCAGGGAGCGCCGCGGGCAGCTCCCGCTGCGGGGCCGCTCGGCAGATGTTTGCCAGATGTGGGCAGCTGCCTCCAGCACTGGGAGGGAGCTCAGCGCGTGGGGCTCCAGCTCAGGCACTGACCCCGACGGAGCCAGGAAGGTGAGAGGCCAAGCTGGGCAGCCAGCAGCTCGGGAGCCAGGGGTGCGGGTGCCCCGCGGTGACCGGGAATGGTGGGTGATGCCCAGGACTGTGTCTGCCCACGGTGGGGACAGCAGAACCGGCTCCCAGTTTTCAGTGGGCAGCATCCACGGTGCAGGCAGGACACGGAGCGCCTTGTGCCAGCAGACACGCGGCTAGCACGGGGGTGCGACCACCCCTTCTGCTTCTGGCGAGCCGTGACCAGCACGCAGCCGCACCACGAGGCCGCTGCTGCCCCGACGGAGCCACCGTCACCCGGCAGAGCCACTGCCACCCACGCGCTCACCGCAGAGGAAGCCCGGCTGTCGCTGCGCCCCTCGCTGCCCCGCTGCAGGAAGGGGCTGCACGGCACTGCCTGCTCCGGCTGCACGGCACTGCTGCCGGCACACCGGCCTCACCGGGCCGAGCCCCCACACCCGGCCGGGAGCACCGACCCGGCTTCCCCAGGCCTGTGCCCGGGCAGTGCCCATGGTCCGCACCGCACCCACAGCTCCGGAAGGGCTCCCTTCCCCCAGGGCAGCAGATGGGCCCGTGGGTGGTGCCTGGCGTGGGCCCCGAGGCCAAACCCAGCCCCAGGATGGGTGACACCAGCCCCACGGAGATGATGGTTTCCCCTCCACCACTGGCACTGAGCCCAGGAGAAGCTCTGGCACCTGCCAGGGCGGTCACAGCTCCAGGGCTGTGAGGAGGGATGGGGCTGGATGGCACTGGATGGGCAGTGTCCCCCATCAGCTCCTGTCCCAGCACAGGGAGAAGGAAAGGGAAAGGGAAAGGGAAAGGGAAAGGGAAAGGGAAAGGGAAAGGGAAAGGGAAAGGGAAAGGGAAAGGGAAAGGGAAAGGGAAAGGGAAAAGGAAAGGGAAAGAAGAGGCGTCTGCCGTGGTGCCCGTGGCGGAAGCAAGGGACAAACACAGCACAGAGCTGGAGCTGCTGCAGGACAGGATCAAACGGCTGGGCAGCGGGAGGAAGGACGGGCAGCGGGAGGAAGGACGGGCAGCGGGAGGAAGGAAGCACGGGCTGAACCCAAGAGCAGCCCCCACCACAGCACCAAGCCTGACACCGCTGCTCCACCTCAACCCCTGCGGCACCCCAGCCGTGCCCCAGCGCCTCGTGCCAGGTGTGCCCACTCCGGGGAGCCCAGCCGTGTCCCCTCGTGCCACTGCAGTGTGCCAGGAGCTCGTGGCAAAGCGGCAGCACCCGTCCCTGTGCCCTGTGCCCAGCGGGCACCGTGTCCCCGGAGCAGCCTCGTGCAGCGGAGGACAGACAGACGTGCCAGGACACCAGGACAGTGCGTGTGGCACCACAGCACTGTCTGATAGCCCTCCCTGATGGCACAGGGGGCTCGTGGCCTCGCGGTGCCCCGTGGCACACCGTGCCGCGCCGCCGGGCTGGGCAGGTCCTGCCCGAGCTTGTCGGGCTGCCGGGAACAGGTCGGGCAGGAGCCGGTGGCTCCGTGGGCCAGTCCCGTGCCAGCTGTGCCGCGGGCACGGGGCCCGCGGGGACACCGAGCCCGCAGGGACGTGGGCAGACCCTGGACCAGCACCCGGCGTCACAGCCCCGCCTGGGGCCAGCCAGCCAGCCTGGGGGTGCCAAGGATGGGGGACAACCTGCTCAGGGGGACGCCACAGCCAGGGGACACCAAGGCTGCCCTGGGGGATCCCAGATGTGTCTCCGAGGGAGCCCAGCCTGTCCTGGAGGAGCAGTCGGCGGGGATATCCTGTCCTTGTGCCCGGCTGCCATCCCGCCACAGACGGAGCAGCCCGACCCGAGGGACGCCCCAGCCCCTGTCCCCTGCCCCCCGTCCTGCGGGCCCCCCGAGGCTCCGGGGATTTGGGGGGACACACAAACACGCCAGGACTGGGGTGGGGCAGTGGCGTCCCACACCCGGAAAAGCGACCCAGAGCGGGTCCGGGAGCCCGGTGACAGCGGCAGGGGCGGTGGTGGGAGCCGGTAACGGCGGGGGAGCACCGGGGCGGGGGACAGGAGAGCACCAGGGGCCCGTACCGGGGATTCGGGGGACAGGAAGGGGCTGAGGCGTTACCTTCAAGGATGACCTCCCTCCCGGCTCTCTTCAGCGCCTGCACAGCTTGATCGTGGGTGGCATCGCGGAGATCGACGCCGTTAACGGCGAGGATGGCGTCGCCTAACCGGAGCGCTCCGCTCCTTTCCGCCGCCAACCCCGGGAAGATCCGTGAGATCAGCACCGGCATCCGATTCTCTCGACCTCCCTTAATGCTGATCCCGAGCCCTCCCGCCTCCGCTTTCACCACCCGCACCCTCCTCACGCCACCGGGTGCCGCCGCCTCCGCGTTGCCGTTCACCACGCCGTTCACCACCGACGGATCGCCGGTTCCCGGTTCCGCCGTTAAGCTCAGCGTTTCGCCGGTCAGTTCGGCCGACACGCGGACCCAGCGGTCCCGCAGGAGCAGCTCCAGCAGCCCCGTTTTACAAGCCCGGGTCCACACGGCCATGCCGCCGCCGCCGCCGCCGGTCACCGGGGAAGGGGCGTGGCCTGGCGGAGGGGGCGTGGCTTGCGGCCCCGCCCCCGCCCGCATGGCGCGCCACGGTAGGCTCGGGGGCGCGGGAGACTGGGGTGGGGCCGCCCCGCCCCCGCCCCGATTCCACCAATCAGAGAGGAGGCGGCTAAGCCACCGCTGATGCGATTGGTCGCTCTGAGAGGCGGGGCAAAGGAAGCCACGCCCCGCCCGCCATGTCTGGCGCTGGGATTTATTTGGCGCGCTGCGATTTATTTGGCGAGCCCCGCTGTGAATCTCCCGTGCTCTCCGTGGTCCCCGATTTCTCGCCCTCCGTCCTGGGGAATGACGCTTCCCTGGCCCACGCAACACCCACAGCCCCCGTCCTTAGGGAATGAGGCTGCCCGGCCCCAGGCAGCACCCACGGACCCACACGACTGATGCGGAGGGAGAATCCAACACCGGGATTAGACACTGAGGGAAAAGGGATGGAATTTGGGGTGTCACCTTATCCCTGTGCCCCGGGGAGGAGAACTGGAAGGATATGAAGATCATGTTGACATGATGGTGGTGTAACAACAGGGAGTCACGCACAAGGATGAGCCCTGAGCCTGGGCATGTACACAACAGTGAGGTTTTATTCCTACAGCACCTTAAGAAAATTCTTACAGTGCCCCAGGAAAGCAGCACAGAGACGGTTCCCAAGGTTGGAGTGGCTTCTTCTGCTCTCAGGTGCCAAATTTCTTCTGTTGGACAGGCTGAGGCAGCTGGGTTTTGAAGTCCATGATGGGTCGTTCCACCACAACCAGGCAGTTCTTGTCCAGCAGATCCATGAAGAGCAGTGGCTGCAAGGCCAGAGATGGGAATCACGGAAATAGGGAATGGTTTGGGGTAGAAGGGACCTTAAAGGATCTCGTTCCACCCCCTGCCATGGCAGGGACACCTTCCACTAGCCCAGGTTGCTCCAAGCCCTGTCCAGCCTGGCCTTGGACAGATCCAGGGGCAGCCACAGCTGCTCTGGGCACCTGTGCCAGGGCCTGCCCACCCTCCCAGGGAACAATTCCATCCCACTATCCCATCTAACCCTGCCCTCTGGCACTGGGAAGCCATTCCCCCTTGTCCCCTTGTTCAAAGTCCCTCTCCAGAGCCCGAGCACCTCCTGACCCTGCTCCCCAACACCACCACCCACCTGGAACTTCTTGCAGATCTTGAAGGCGTGGAGCTGCCGCTTCCGGGCGGTCTCGGGGAGCTGTTTCAGGGTGCTCTGGTTCATCAGGATGGCGCCGTCGTCGGGCAGGGGCTGCGGGAGCGGGCAGAGCACGGGTCAGGCCGCCCCCGGAGCGCCCGGGCAGCCCCGGCCCTCCCCCCGGCTCACCAGGGACTTGTCGAGCACGCAGAGCAGGAAGGTGTCGTGCAGCAGGATGTGCGCGGCGTTCTTGGGGTTGAAGGTGATGTGCGTGATGGGCGAGTCCCGCTCCAGCCAGACGCGGTGCAGCCCCCGGCTCTGCACGGCGCGGCTCCAGCCCGTGTACTGCTTCTCGGGGATGCTGAACTCGGACAGCTGCGGGGCACGGACACGTCAGGGGCGCCCCAGCGGCTCCAGCCAGGCCCCCGAGCCACGCTGGAAGGGCAGGGACACGGGGAAGGGAGCAGAGCCACGAGAGCTCCACTAGCAGAGCTCCTACCTGCTGGTCCGAGTAGGCGATGACGAGGTTGTTGGTGATGGGGTGGATGGCGAGGGCCGATACGGCGCAGTCGTAGCTGGGCACCACGCAGTGATGCTGTAGGAGGGGACAGTGTGCTGGTGGGACCCGCCACAGCCACTGCTGACAGCGCTCCCACACACCCATCCCGAGCAGAGCCTCCAGGACTGCCTCTGACCCCCCTCCCCACACACCCACCCCGAGCAGAGCCTCCAGGACTGCCTCTGACCCCCCTCCCCACACACCCACCCCGAGCAGAGCCTCCAGGACTGCCTCTGACCCCCTTTCCCACACACCCACCCCGAGCAGAACCTCCAGAACTACCCCTGACCCCCTGCCCCACACACCCACCCCAGCCCTGCTCCAGGGGTGCAGTGATGTCTCCAGGGGTCCCTCCCAGGCCCACCTTGAAGCATTTCAGGTTGTAGACGTGGATGGCCCAGTCGCCGCTGACGGCTGCCAGCCAGTGCCCGTCCGCGCTCGGCGCCAGCAGGTAAACGGCCTCGGAGCAGCCTGCAGACAGCCTCGGGCTCAGAGGGGTGCTGGGAGCCTCAGACCCACAGACACCCAGCCCCACGTCCCCCCTGCCTGTCCAGTGCCCGGCCACGAGGGCACAGACACCCCCGGGAGGGACTCGCACACCCCTCAGGGCAGGAAAGGGGGACACCCCCGCTCTGCACCCACAGGGGAGGGGAATGCGGAGCCCAGGAACCCCCAGCCCCACCCCAGGAACCCCCAGCCCACACCTGAGGGCGGCCGCAGTGTGTGCAGGTGCTTGCAGCCCCCCGGCTCCTGCAGCTGGAAGACGTGCACAGCTCCTCGAGCGGAGGCCACGAAGAGGCTGTCGGAGGCGGCGGAGAACTGGAGCTGGTAGGCTGGAGGCAGCAGCTTGGGCGCTTTGGGGACCTGGCAGAGGGGAGAACGCAGCCCTGGCAGCCGCCCCGCTGCCACCCATGGTCCCCACGAGTGACGCTGGCTGTGCCAGCCCCCAGGCCCCACGGCCCCCCGCCCCTCTGACCTTGCTGAGGCTGACGCCGTCCCCGTCGCAGTGCACGCGGTACAGCTGCAAGCGGGAGGCCGTGGAGTAGCCCAGCCAGGTGCCACAGGGTGAGATGCTGCTGCAGTAGATGTGCTCCGGGCCCTGGGAATGCCACGGGACTGAGGGGGGGCCCGAGGAACCCCCAGAGCCCAGCACACGCCCCTCACCTGCCCCAGGGGCACCCCAGCCCCCTCAGCCCTACCTTGCTCTTGAGCTGCAAGAGGTGCTCGGGCATCTGGCACAAGGGAAGGACCTCACCGTCCTTTCCTGGGAAAGAAAGCACACGGACACCGGTGAGTGGGAAAACCACACGGGGCTCTCTGAGCAGCTGGGGATCCTGGGGGAGTGCCCAGACCCTTCCCTGAGGCCCAGGACAGCTCAACCCCCAAATCCTGCTGGCAGCCTGGGCTCTGCCAGGGAGCTGACACCAGAGAGCTGTGCCTGTGACTCACCAGTCTCCTCAGTGGAGCCAAGTCTCCAGAGCTCCAGGTACTGGGAGAACTGGAAGAGGAGCAGCCGGGCTTTCCTGGCGCAGGAGACGAGGCGTCGCTGCGTGGAAAAATGGGCAGGGTGTCATGGACCCACAGCCTGGCACAACGGGCTGGGGCACAGCCGGAATGCCCTGGAGTGCTGGTGACTCCCCACGGGGGTGAGCAGGGAAATCAGGTCCCATGGGATGGAGATGGAGACCCAGCAGGACCAGCAGGACCAGCTTGGCAACTTCCACTGCTCCTTGGCAGAGCCTCCAGATGTACCAGGAAAGGAGACAAACAGGGCAGAGGAGGGAGCCAGGCTCAGGGAAGGAACCCTGGCAGGGCAATGAAGGCACCTGGAGGGGCAGGGAGATCCAGCCCTTCCAGCCCCACGACCCCAGTCCACGCATCACTCACGTGGGGGAAGATGAATTTTCGGAGCACCGCGTCGTAGCTCTTCTTCTGCACCTTCTCCATCAGCGGGCGGATCACCAGCTGGGCATCCAGGCCTGCAAGCCAAGCACAGCTCAGCCACACCCTGGGAGGGGAGATCCCGCCCAGTGCCGGAGCCAGCAGCAGTCCTACCCCCGGAGATGAGGGCGGTGGGGCTGTGTGCCACGGCCCGCACGTCGTGGCTGTGGAACTGGAACACCTTCGTGCGCACCCACTGCTTCTCCAGCCCGCCCAGCCTCACTGGCAGCAGCTGCAGCTGGTAGGTGGCCCCGCTGGAGGTGCCCACGACTATGCTGTCCTCTTTCTGTGGAGGGAAACGGGACGGGGCTGTGGGAGCAGCTGGGAACAACAGGAGGGCACTGCCAGGAGGCCTCGAGTGCGGCACCTCCGCTCCCTGCCAGCCAGGGGGGAGCTGGGGGTGTCACCCACCTCTGACACGGCCAGCGAGAGCACGGCCGAGGTGCTGACGGCGCAGGACTCTGCCAGCGTGCCCTGCTGCCAGTCCCAGAACTGCACCCTCCCGAAGGAGTCGGCGCTGACCACGGTGCCGCTGGACAGGAGGGCGATGGCCCACACCACGCACTCGCGCTTGGCCTTCTCCACTTGGTGGTTCACCATGATCCTCTGCACCGTCTGGCCTGCAGCGGGAGAGGGCTGGAGGTGGCCGGGGGGTCCCCCAGGTCCCGGGGGACGGGATGGGGCTGCTCCCGGGACAGGAGGTACCTGAAGCGACGTCGATCACACGGAAGAAGTCGATGGAGCCAGCCACGATGTGAGTGTCCGAGGGGTGCCAGGACAGGCACAGGACACGGCCTGGGCAGGGAGAGAAGCTCCGTGGGCTCGCAGCCCCGCGGCCGCCGGGGTGCCCGGACCCGGGACTCACCTTTCCGCCTGTCCAGGTTCCGCTCAAACTGGATCCCCTCAGCAACGACTTGAAAGATCTTGACAGAGCCGTCCTCGCAGCCGATCTGCGGGGGCCGGGATCAGCGCGGGCCACGGCAGGACCCTGTCCCCCGCCCGGTGCCGCTCCCGGTGAACCCACCGCCAGCTGGGTGCCGGTGCCGTTGGCCACCATGCTCCAGACGGGTCCCCCGCCGCCGTCCACGCCGCGGGCCGCGCTCAGCCCGGCCAGGTCGTACTCGGTGATGTCCCCGCCGAGCCCGGCCCCGAACAGCCGGGCCCCGGCCGCCCAGCACAGCGACTCCACCGACCGCGCCTCGTGCCCGGGGATCACCTGCGCGGGGACGGGGTCACACCGGGGCACGGCCCGGTACGGCCCGGTACGGCCCGGCAGGGCCACCTAACGCCCGGTACAGCCTCGGTGGGGCTCGGTACAGGCCCAGCAAGGCTCGGTACGGATCCGTAGGGACTAGTAAAGCATGGTCCCGGCTCGGTACGGCCCGGCTAGGCTCGGTACAGACCCGGCACCCGGCTCGGTGCCGATCGGAAGGACCAAGTACGCACGGTACGGGCTCGGTACGTGCCCGGTGCAAGCTCGGTAAAGCTCGGCACAGGCCCGGTACATCCCGGTACGGCCCGTGCCGGCGCCCTCACCTTCTCCTGGAAGTAGTTGGCGGCGAAGTTGTACACCTCGACGGTGCCGTCGGTGCGGGCCAGCGCCAGGCGGGTGCCGCGGGGCTGGCAGGCGAGGCAGCGCACGCCCGCCGGCACCAGCCCGAAGAACCGCACCCGGTGCACCTGGAACTCGCCCATGGCGCCGCTCCCGGCCCCGCTCCCGCTCCCGCTCCGCCCCACGTGCGCGCGGCGCGCCGGAACCGGAGCTGCCCCGGGGCCGCGCGGGAGCGGAAGCGGAAGCGGCGGCGCGGCGGGAGATTCGCGCGGGGCCGGCGGCGGGCGCACGGTGCGGGCGGCAGGGAACCGGCCCCCGGAGCCCCGGAGCCCCGGGCCGGCCCCGCGGGACCCGGGGAGCGATCCGGGCCGGGGGGCTCCGGGAGGGGATGGGGCTGGGGGCTGGGGGCTGGATCTGGGGGGCTGGGGACATTCTGTAGGGCCTGGGGGTGGGTCTGAGGGCCCAGAGCGGGGTCTGTGCGTGGGGGCTCTGTGGGGCACAGGCAGAAGCTCATCCTGGGGTCCCCAGAGGGGAAGGGCCGGGGGCTGCTGCTCCCCGGCCCGCTCCCCCTGCCCTGACCGTGTCTCTGCAGCCCCCGGCACGGCCCGGCATGGTGCAGATCGTCATCTCCAGGTGAGCCCCACGGGTCGGTCCCCGTGGCCCCTGTGCCCTCTGGGGCCCGGGTGACGCTCCCCGTCTCTCCCCAGCGGCGGCGCGGGCGCCCTGGCGCAGTGGGTGCTGCTGGAGCTGCAGGGCCAGGTGGAGCCCCGGCAGAGCGGGGAGCTGGCTGGGAGCCTGCTGGGAGACCTGCACTACACCTGTGAGGTGAGACCGGGACCACCGGGACCCGCCGGGGACGCTCCAGCCCAGCCTCACCCTCCTCTCTCCCCAGGGCATCCCCATGCTCCAGCCCAGCCTCACCCTCCTCTCTCCCCAGGGC